ATGACCTGTGTATGTCCTGCTATGAAAACTCTCATCCTTATCTTCAGTCAGTATTGGAGGCTCAATGGAGAGCCCCCTAATCTGGAGTTTCACCGCCCGTACCAATTCTTATTGTATTTCGCCGTCAAGAGGGGCGAGTAACAAGGAGGGCTGCTAGTAGTTGGGCTTCTCTGCTGTCACGATCAGGGCAGTGTGATTGAAGGTTTTTTTCAGTTTTGTTTCATTCTTTATGATTGGTCAACGCCCTGAAAAGCTTCTACATCTATTTTGAACGCAATTAGTGTACTTGAGGCGCGTCGAAGGATTGCAGGAGCGGTGGTGTAGATCGTAGGATGTCAGATCCATTGAACTAGCTTGTCATATCCATTAAACTTTTACCTTGTCATATAAGTGGGTCGTAAAGATCTGTCATTTTTGGAGGGAAAGGGGTCGTCTTCGAAGTTGCCAGGGTTAGTTGTCCTTCTAAGAATTTGAGCGGCGCATTTGTCAGGGCTAAGGAGATATGATAAGAGAGTTGTAGAAGGAAGAATGGGTCGTATCTATGAGGATGAAGGAAGTTTTGTTGCAGTTCCCAGCAGAAACGCAAGCACGTTGTTGGCTTCATGGAATGTGGTCGGCATCGTTGGAATCACTGTTATAAATTCGTCTGCCGAAGCATGGGAATAAGCGAATTTGAAACACCTCCATTCTGTCAGCTTTATACGGGGCGGAGGGGGTGGGGGGTGGGGGAGACACTTTGCCCATGGCTCAAATCGGCAAGCTTTTCGTCGCACAGGGTGAAGCTGTAAAAGTTTCATGGCAAAACATTTCTCAGATGTCCCTTCGTAAGCAGGAGTAGGTGCTCTTCACTGCCCTCAACGTCTTCAAAAAACGACGTCATCTGCGATCACCGTCTAGGAGGCCTACCGTGATCGTGCTCTGTCTGAAGTCTGAAGCTGCTACATAACTCTTAAATACGACTGACTGGTGGACAGCTTTCTGAAGGATGGCCTAGGGTGCACTGAGT